TATAATAATTTTATTCTGCATTATAAAAATAGAAAGGCAGCTTTCTAGTGTTACCAGAGAGCATGAGTATGATTTAGTACGACATGAGTTAAACGTCTGATTTCGAAAAGTTCGTTGTTAACCAAATCATCTACTTCTCGAACATCGGCTGGCCGTCGACTCTCGATAATGCATCTTTTACATGTATTGACAATATCATCTTATGACTAACTATCCTATGAAATATTGCTGAAACGTGACATGTATCATGTAATCGATCTTTCGAGCTCGAGCCTATTTCCAGACGAAAAATAGGTTGTTACAAGTTTCTAACATCGTTGGAGAAAGTTACGCGTCGAAGAAAACTGCAGTAAAACATTCGATTTTAGCAATTATAATTGTGTCTAATGTGTCGAACTGAAAGAATCAGTATAGAGTCAACTGTTTACTTAATCAGGATAGTCAATATCGGATCCATAGAGCTTAAGATGCTTTGCTAAATTAATCTTAGTATAAAAAGAATAATGTTGAAGACGCAAGTCATACTTTCGATTGATCTTTTTTCACCATACATACTCGACAAAGTTCATCTTTCTCAAACTTCGCATTCATCGAAGAAAAATGGATCAAATATGACAGAAAGACAAATTTTCTCGGTCGTAGCATGATGAAAAGTTACTACACTTCGTCACATTGTCGCTTTTCATCTTAACATAGTCACCATCTGTCAAAAAATTGCTCTTTAGAAATGAGTAGTTAAGTTAATTTGCATTGTTGTTACTGATAAAAAGTAATTTCATCTTGCCAACTATTTTACATATTTTTTTGGTGCTGATGATGGTGATGAAACCTCTTCAGTTATCCATATGACACTACATGCTACCAATTTTAGAGAAAGCTTAGGAAGAGAGATGAAGTAAGAAGTTGATGGTAGGGGTGGATACGCTAGACACAGTGGAATGAACAAAGATCCTTGTTTGATTTGTCGTAGTTTCTTCATCTCGAATATAAAAGATTTGCATAAGCAAATTATAAGCAGAGTTGTTTAACATTCCTGATGTTTTGTTATCTATTTCGATGAATGAGCTAAGATTGAGTTTTTTTACTTAGTTCAACTCTTAACTGACACCTTATATAGCCATTTATACATTCGCTGCCCTAAATGCTGTGATAAATATATGCATCATGTACTATCCCTTGATAATGTTGTTTCTCATAAAATGAATATTTTGTAGTTACGATTATAACTAAAATGTAGAAGAAGGAGACCATATGGCTTTCTAAGAGCCAAAAAAGAACTCATTCCGCTGAAATGAACAATGTACCCGATCTATGGTTGACTTCTCATTTTTTTTCTACTTTTTTTTTGATTCGTCAAAATAGGAAACTTGTGACTCTCACATAAAACAGTGTTGTTCTCAACAAACAATTCAAAACAGTTAGTAAGTCAAAGAATTTTTATCTAGTTGCTTATGAAAGTTGTATTTATTTGTCGACTAGATCGATGAAGGTCATTCGATCTTCACTTCAAAAATTATCTCAGCTAAATTTATCTATTGAGCCAAATCAGCAGAATGACAGAGATCATCGAACATTACGTAATCAACTACTGGCAACACGGCTCTATTTGATTCTCTTGATCATATCTTTGTTTATCTTTGTGCTCTTCACTTCTGTGAGCAGAAAACATGTCTCCATCACAGTACAAAAACCATCAGTTGCCGTATATAATGATCTCGAAGCTGCCTATCCGGATACAATATCGTGCCCATGTCAAAATATATCAGTTCCATACTCCAGTTTTCTATCCTTTCAAGCAACATACCATCCAGTAAGCATTTTAGTACTAGTTAAAAATGACGATGAACCACAAACAAACGTCATTTATCACTGTAAGACACTCAAATAAGAAGTTTTATCTTAATGAAGAAAAACAGTAGCACAATAGATAGTTGCAAATATTATTGAGAAATACAGATGCATTTATTGATTTCGATTACGATGAACTCAAACAAAGTGGAATTACTGAAATTATGGTAGTTGCAATCAAATAATTGCTTTGAAACTATCTTCTCAAGACTCAATAATGCAATTCTAAATGTTCTTTTTCAAGATATATTCTGGTGTTAGTACCAGCAGGTGCTTGTTCTAGAACCGGTTCCGAATATATTCACATTAGGAGCAATTTCGATAAACGAAAACGTTGCAAAAAAACTCGAACTTCAATGCTAAAATTTCTTATATAATGTCATTTGCTTTAGACATGCACCCGAACTCGGGAACAAACCGGGATTCCCGGGTTCGGTCATTCCCGGGGTCCAATCGATAGTAGGTTTGAGCTCAATCCAGATCTTTCCTTCAAGCTTACACAGTTGCAATATCATGTAGATTTGACTAGGGAACTTCTACCACAGGCAAACTGAGGTCGAGAAATTCGAATCTGAAGTCGGATTTTAAGAATTTTTAATTGGATTTTTTCGGTAAGGGGTAAGTGTGGAGTGTGGGTCAGAGATGCACGGTCCACGGGGTTCACCCCGCGGGCCCCGCGGGGCCACGTGGCGACGGGCGGGCGGGGGAGAAAAATGTAATGAAATGAGGGTTTAACGGGGCGCGGGTATTGCCCGGCCCACGGGCGAGCGGGGCGGGGAATAATTTTTTTAAATAATACGGGTCTCGGGCGGGGCGGGTATGAAATACACGGGTTCGGGCGGGNGCATTGTATCTTAAACTATAGATCTCAAGTCCCTCTGTCCAAATCAAAGGGCAAAATCAAAATTTCATCTAGATGAAACGTCACTTTCATGCATTCTTTTGCATGTTTTTCGAAGATGATTACTTTTAAAAGGATTTTGTCTTATACATTATCGGAGAAAAAGACGTCCCAACTTCTACTCTTTCAGTGGGTGAAAGCCGCAGGTCGCTAACTACTGCCATTCTAGAGATATTCGTTCTACACCCACCCCTATTTAATTCTGGCGCCGACAATAGTTGATGTTAAGATCAAAGTAGTTTATGCTGGAAATTTTTATTAACAAATCTCTTTATTTTTAATCAATTGTAACAAGCAATATAATAGTGCAATAAAATAACAAAGAAGTAGTAATAAATTTTATTATATCGATTTTGTGTTAAAATTCGACGTTTCAATCATCTAAGTGACCATCTTCAATAATTATTATTCGGTTATGTGTACTTTTTGAGATGATCACTTAGATGATCAAAACGGCGACTTTCAGTATAAAATCAATAAAGTAAAATTGATTATCACTACTTTGATATTTTGTGGTACTAAATCTCTTTATATTCGAGATAATTTCAGGCAGAAAAATAACCTGAGAACAACACTGATTATATATACTAGTCGAAGAGAGAAATCTAAATTAATAATAAACCGTAAATCGTAAAAAGTTATTGTTATAGAATGAATCAGTTATATGTGATACTTTTCTATTTCTTTCTTTTCCTCGTCGTCTACTCTTTTGAGATAGTATTACTTTAATAGAAAATAAAAAAGATACTAATCGTTAACAGCTATATCAATATCTTAGAAAACACTACAAATATTCTATCCAACATGTTCGCGATGAAAGAATGTTCTGACTGAAAACAAATTTAAGTAACAAACATTTGATTATAAATCATGATTATAATCATCTAAGTAAAAAGATATATGATTTAATAACATTCTAAGTCTTCACGTGACGAAATAAACAAATCAAATAATAAAAAAACTGAATATTTGCTGTAGAAGCGTCATTTAATTGTAAGACCATTAATAAAAATACAATATAGAAGCTAGTACTAACTAACTGTATTTTGCTTCAAACAGATCTATAAAAACTTTGCCCGAATAGGAGATGATACGTTTTACTCGGGAAAAATTCTCAATGTTTTGTTATTATTTCATCTCATAGAATTCATTGCCTAATGTTCAAACTTAAAGTCTATCAGTCACTTTCAAATCTTCTATAAAAAGCATGAGTCATTGCTCGTTGACATATTATGAATTTAAAAGTTCTTTAGTTTTTAAAATGTTCTTTCTCGTTTTCTCTTTTATTTTCGTGATTCCCGGAGTAAATGTAAGAAATTATTTATCTAATAATGATTCTAAAGTTAAATATCATTTTAAATAGAAAATAACGATTATAGCTTTTGTCTTTCTTTATAATAAAAAAAAAACCTTCTGATAAGAATTTGATTTAATGAATAAATGAAAACTGAAACGATGGTTGGAAGAGAAAGATGATTTAACTGAAGAAATAGTTTAATGTTTTTATAAGGAATTTAACCTATTATCATCTTGCAGAAAACCTTCATTAAATGAATGAACACACTTTAACAACTTTTGTTTCTGTTCATGAAAATAATCAATTTGATATACTTTCAATAGGTACAGATAAATAGATAAGAATGTAATGCAAATGGTTGCTTATTACATGATTATCATGCTGGAGTGATTGCCTCAAGAGCTTTAATGAGACTTTTTTATGAACAAAATAATACAGTGATTCATAACTTTCGAAAACATGCAATATGTGTATTCTAAGTGTCTCGATAATATTGATCATGAATACTTCCAAATAATGATGAGCAAAGTGACGAATATCTCATAGATTCATCTCAAATTTAGTAAATAATTAAAATACATCATACTAGATCTTATGTCAATATTTACGTATACAAACAAAACTTATCTTTATTGCAAGATAGGCACTATTGACTATCTTAGAATGGATGTGGGATGCGGTGTGTAAGTGCAAGTCTGGGTGTGGGCGCAGATTTAGTTGTGCTCCTTCCTCACACCTCACACCCGTACCCTAACAGTACTTGCCGGATTGGATGTGGGTGAATATAAGAAAGAAAACACTCACACTCACACGTACACCAACCCATACCCACAAAACGTGAGCTCGATCGTTGCGAATCAGTTGGATATATTCCCGCGTTAGTTAATTTACTTAATCTCGTAATTCACTAAGATGAGAAGTCGTGATCATGCGATGAATTTCAAGGAACATTCTTTATTGAATAATCTTTTCATTATTTATTTCGTTAAGAATAGTGCTAACTTGCTCTTGATATTCGTGCATGTCTAGATGATTCAGTTTCTTAGCAATATTCAATGCTTTTGTCATATTTTCCAGTGCTTGTAAATAATGTTTTTGTCTGTTCTGAATAAATGCAATATTATGATAAGTATTGGCAAGTGAAAGATGATGAGATGGTAATGTCTGAAGATCAAGCTCGAGTACTTTTTGAAATTGTTTCAATGCATCTTCTTCATTGCCACGTTTGAAACTAATTTCTGCTAAATTATTATGTGTACTTGTTAGTGAAGGATGATTAAATGGTAGAACTTTTTCTTTGATGATTAAACTCTTTTCATAATAGTGATGTGCATTCGACAAATCATCTATTGAAGAATAGACAGATCCAATGTTATTGTATATTATCGATAGTTTTTCTTGAAATGAAGGAAAATTTTGTTCTACTATATCTTGTGCCTTTAGCATGTGCATCAATGCTTCCGAAAAATTGTTCATTGCATGATAAACAATTCCTAAGTTGGCATAAGCTTCTGCAAATTTCATTGAATTTTGTGAGGTAATGAACTCGAGCTCTTTCCTATGATGTATTACCCATGTAACCATTTTTAAGTTTCCAACGCGTTTCTGAGCGTTTAACGCAAAAGCACTTGACGCGTTTGTACGCGTCCAAAATGCAACATTTTCGGATGTCCAAACGCGTTCAGATTAAATAAATGCATCTGCACGCGTTTGAATTATAAGAGCATCACAACTCGTTTACATATAGGGACGCGTTTGTACGCGTCCAAAATGCAACATTTTCAAGCATGGGAACGCGTTCAGAAAATTGAGCGCGTTTGGATGCGTTTACTTTATTCTTGAAAATGTTAAAAAATAATCATCACTCTGTGTCGAATTCGAACCGACGCACCATAGCAAACTATGATATAGCACTCCAATACCGTGAGCAACAGTGTGGGAATTTTTCCAACGATAGTTTGAACCAAGATTTGAACACACGACCATCGATTACAAGTCGAGCACAAGTAGCTCTGAGCTATACACAGCTCGAAATTATTTATATGTTCATAAACCGAAAGACTAACTTTTTGAATTTCTTTGGATAGTTTAAGAATAGTGATGTTGATTTATTTTCACTTCGCAAATGAATATCAATAAGATATATTCATAAAATTAAAATAAATGTATTCTTTATGGTTATAAACAAAAAATAAAAAAATAAAAATTTCATTATCTACAGGATGAAGAAAAATTAAAGAATAAATAAGCCTCTCTCTCTTTGATAAATAAAGAAAAAATTCGTCGTGCAACACAATTAAATATTTTTTTTCTCTTTGCTACTAGCAGAATATACAATGTTATTGAAAGCTGAGAACATGCTATGAAAACATATGGAAAAAATCTTATGTGTATCTGCATATTTGTAACTATGGCATTACATTTTTTGCAGAAATTTAAAGAAAATAGAAGATTAGGTCTCAATAAAAAAAAATATTATTTTCTATTCGTGATTTTTTTTTCAAACTAAGTGTTCATTTACGTTTTCTTATAACTCAAAAACTTACTCATCTTTATTTTTTCAAATAATGAAGATTTTCTTTTTCTTATCAATCTTAATCTCATAAAGTGAAAAAGTTTCATCTTGACTCATATTCTTTATTATGAAGAAGAACAAAGATAAACTAACATTCCCATTTGAAAAAGTACTTTGCTAAACTTTAGATAAAATCAAATAGTTGAAAATAAAAATAAAATTCATAGGAATTATTTTTTTATATAGGAAATAGATGATGAACTCAACAATAAAAGCGTTAAGATAGCAGTAGATCGTTTGTGCATTATTAAGCCGTTTTGAAAATACGGTAGAATAAAGCATAAAGTTTTGTCAACGGTTCAATATTTTCAATAAATAATGTGTAAGTAAAAAGTGAATATGACAGAGATACTCATGGAACTTAGTTAATTCATTACAGCAAGCACAACTTCGTTAAAGCTTCATGACAGCAATGAAACATGAATGCCAGAATCCAGTTCTACAGCGACATAAAGTGATCGGAATTTTATAATTGTTTTAGAGAATACAGTTAAAACGCCCATACACGATCATGAGAAAGCGAGTCGTACTCTGTCTTCAACATACACGAGTTTAGACGTGTATGGTTTATTGAACGCGTTCAAGTGCGTCAAGTGAATTGCTTGCAAACGCACAGAGACGCATAAATGTCTAAAAAGGATTATATGAGCAGTAAAAAGAACATCGTCCAATTATTCTTAATCCAATAAGAAGAGGCAGTTTGTAGTATAGAGTATTTAGTTTGGCCTTATCCCCGTTTAATTCTACTTCGGACTAATTGCATCCTCCCGAATTAGTACAATAGACACAGACGTTCTGAAGTTCTTCGGCGTATAGCTGTCTGCTTACATATTTCACGCAACACTAGTACTAGTAGGTTACATTTAAAATTCCAAATTATGAGTAGTAGTCATTTTTAAGAATGATCGATGCAATATGGCTTTGTTGCCGTCTTAATAATTTATTAGAGAATTCTCGATCTCCTTTTCAATGAAAATCGGGTAGTCTCGTTCACAATACGAGGTCTATTGATATTTATTGTGATGAAACAGCCTGCATTTTAGATGGCATCACATGCACGCATGGCTAGAAACGTACTTCAATGCATCTTATCTATGCAAAGAACGAATCGGGCTGCATTTAGACGCGTAAGTGGAATCCAAGAGCATCAGCAAGCGTATAGAATCAACGCATATAATCGCGTGTTGCCGATTGGCAACGTTCGAACGCGTTCAATTTAATTTTGTTAGAAATTATGAACGCATCTGGATGCAAAGTCGAAATTTTACGCCTTGAAACGCGTCCCATAACTAATCTAAACCCGTTTGGATGCATCTTATTTAATAAATGCGTTTGAAGACGTCTAGTAGCTCGCAACGCGTTTAGACACTAGTATCATAGATGCATTTCTGTGCGTTTGGACTCTATTTCAATCGTAAATGCGTTTAAACGCGTCTAGCATGCGTTTCATGGTTACATGGGTAATGCTTCTTCATATTTTCCTAAATCTGTGTAAGTGGCGCCAAGGTGACTATGGAAAATTTGTCGTTTTGGATCGTCGTCTGACATTTCTGCTAGCATGAGCAGATAAAATTGTACAAGTTTATCATATTCACCCATCATACTTAATAATTTACCAAACGGAACTATATTAGTCTCATTGGTAAGTTCTTCCCTCATATGCAATCGTAATTTTTTTAAGTCTTCATCATCCTCTTCGTTCGATGTTAACTTTACACTCCAAACACCATCTACTTCTTGAATCGATTGAATGCGACAGATCATTCCCATAGCAAAAAGCACTTCATTTTCAGCATAAAAACTACTTAGATCTCGAATATTATGGAAAGGTCGTTGACATTTTTCTTGATCAACCATTATTTCAAATAGAACTGATTCTTGTGATGGGCGTTGCAGACCACCACCAGAATAAATTAATGCGATATTTCTGTCAGTTGTTGTTGACATAAAACTATTAATGGATAAAAAATCGCCATTATTCTTTGTGAGCCTTTCAAATTCGTTGACATCTAATAGTATACTTCGATAAACGACGATTATACCATTCCGTTTTTTTTCATCATCTTCATATAATTTTTCTAACTGAGCTTGCAAGTCTTTGATGAAAAAACGAAGTTTGAATAGAATATCGATATCTTGTACTCGTAATGCTTTATTTAATATTCGATAGAGGAAACTGTCACGTGTATACCATTCAATAGCTCTACCATTTGTATACTGACGTTCAAACTCATCAATAATATTCAGTTGATAATCATTTCCGTCATACTGTCGACGACATTCATTAATCATGTCATATTTTGCATTGCCTACATTGATAGAAAGTAGTACATCGATTAATAATTGAAAGTACATAAAAGATGCTTCGAGACGATTTGATAATGATATAGAGTTACCACTTGTTGATGGCATAAAACTTATTGCAAGATCTTTTGCTGTAGTGAGTACAGCTACTTCTTGAACGAGTACTTCGTGTATATCATCAATCGTATTGTATACACCACATACTTTTGAATACTGTTGCTCCTGGCAGTATACATGTTGATTGTATGATAGTACATAAATTGAATGGATCTGTTCAAGATCATGTATAACAGGTACAACAGTAATATACCATGATTCGGCAAGGATAAAAAATATTTTTTCTGATTGACACTCGAGTATATATTCAATACATTCCGCGACATTGTCAAACATTTCATGAAAGTTAATTGTTCTTCTAAATTGAGCTTGGTATTCATTAGTATCTCTAATAAGCCATACGATCATATTGGTCTCGAGATTCCGACGCTGACATGGTCGACGTTGTGTGTTTCGTTCATTAGAACACACACACTTAGATTCCATTCAAAACTGGTCAGCGAACTACAGTAATAATGGAAAATATAGACTTCTAATTAGCAATGCCTCAATTTAGTCGTTTTCTTTGTTTGGAATATTAATTGATTACGATATGATTCTATGAAAGTTCCATCGTAATATTTATATAAGGATCGATCTATTAGACTAAACCGTCAATATTTCATCATCATTTCCAATTTTTTTAAACACAACTCAGATTGATCGACTTTTCTAGACTCATTTGGCTTTAATCTTTTTGATTGTTAAATAGGTCAAACAGTTCTCTATTGATCTATATGGTGCATTTATGATAATATTAAGATCTAATTAAGCAATACTTGAAATCTGAAGATGTAATTCCAATTCTCTCTTGCTCTATTCTTTATTTGATTTCATCAGCGTAGTTATTTCTCATTTATATTCACATTACTTGAAACGGCAAATATACTAAACGATGTAGGATGCATACAATTTCGATCATAGAATTTTAATTTTTCTGATATAAGTTTTCATTATTCTATTTATCAAGTTTGGTGCTATCGATTGATATCGTTTTCTTTGATCCAACTGTGTGTTTTTTCTTTCTTACGTTAATTAAAACTTTCATAGTATGTAATTTCGTTAGTCGCTTTAATTCTATCGCTGCAGTTATTTCCTTTTTCTTATACTATCACAGAAGCAGAAAAAGATGGAGACGTGTGATGAATTAGAAAGAAAACATCTGGGTGCTATCCGAACTAGGGAATCTCATCTAATAGCTGAAAACAAAAAGTATATTTTGTGAATTAGTGGGTAGAGTGAGAACTCCTATCTATCTACACATCGATACATACAATGACCCATCTCTATCAATCTATTCACTCACACTCATATCCTTCTTCCTGTTACCTAAAGCGATACCTAACTGAATCGACACCCATACCGGTAGACTCGCAATCTTTTCATGGTACCATGAGGAAAATGAAGTTGATACACTTTAGTACAATATATATGACGATTGTTTCTAAAGAGTTACCGATTTACTTTTTAAAACTGATTAGTGTAGACTTATTTGATTGAGAAGTGCCTACTTCAGAAGCACTATAATCTGCTAGGATAGGAGTAATTTCATTGAAATGAGCTCACGTTGAGCATTACTCTGTATTCATTCCATCTATGATTCTCTGTGGAAAGTGCTGACAAGCCTTTAAAAAAGAGATGAAGTTTTCTATATTGTGTTTTCTGCACAGATTAATATGCATTGCTTTGTTTTCTTCATACTTTTGGTAGGTTTCTTTTTATTCTAAAGTCAAATTTTGATTTGTAGTCAATTTTAGAAGCGTCTAACTATAAGATGTTACTCTGTTGGTGATCGCTTGGTATATAAAAAAGCAATTATTTCAAATGAACCACATACATTTTTCTGCCTTCTTTTTGTACCAAAAAAAAATTCACCATCGTTATTTCATCGTGGAAAAAATATACGATTGTTGCCGACACTGATGCTGAATGAAGCAAAATCAATTGCCTCACATTTTTATTGCTAGGAAAGAAAAAGTAAACAAATCTTTCTGCTTCAACACATACATATATTTTTTGCAAAATCAGCCATTTTCTCCACTTGAAGATGTAAATACGGGTGGGTATGGGTGTGGGGTGTGAGTGCTCTACTCACTGACGCACACCTACACGCATATGGACCCACCCACGCCCACCTATATTCGATTGATGTTGATCTATTTTTCTCCTCATAACAAGATTTGAGTGATTTGATTTGCTTTCAGTTTTTGTCTTACATGTTGATGGTATCACAACAATTCATTCTAACTGTATACTATTTCACAATAAACAAGAACGAAACCAAAGGTTTCAGATTATTGGGCGTGAGAATGAGAGTGGATATTGGTGTAAATAAGATATAACATGAAACTCAAAATCACCTCCACATATGCATCCACACATATCCATATCCTATACTTGATTGTAAATTAATTTAAAAAAATGTGATCTTCATTTTAAATATAAATCGATTTGAAAAAAAAACAAATGTTATTTATGTATGTGGTTTCAGTCATGGCTTTTTTCAATTTTTACAATAAACTACTTTTCAACTTTGAAGATCAACTAAGCGAAACATTTCATTTGATATGTGTTGCTTATATTTTCCAAATCCTCTACCAAAACCATAGAATTGGATTTGTTCTTCTATCATTAACAAATCACAAAGAATATCATATTATGGATAGCAATAAACTTTTTCGAAAAATTCCAATGAAACTAATTGATATTCGTAGCCATCTATTTTGCGTTCTTGTGTTTCCATAATTCATTTGGCTTTTTAAAACATTGTTTTATTTTACAGAAAACCAATAAAAGAAATTAGAACATCTGTATGCGTCAGATCTGTATACCAATTATGCACTCTGGGAATGGAATGATTACACAATGCTTGTACTATCTGATGAGAAATCACTTATGGGCTACTTATCTAAAAATTGGATAAGACTTTAAAAAGAAACTTAGATACAGCTGCAACAAACTTGGGGAAGCCTATCTCATTATCACATCTCCGAACTGAGTTTATTTTAAGTCATTGGGATTTAGAAAAAACAGTATCTTTCCTAATCGTTTGGCAGCAAGGGCACATCATGTGAATTTATACCTCTTCATATTTTTCTATATGCATGAGTGTCAAAGTGAAATTTTTAAAAAATCGTCCTCTGTGTTCGAAAGATTTGTACAGAATTATTTATATCCTCCATAATGTTTGTAATAATATCAGATAAATACAATAAAGCACTATATCTCCATCTTTCTTTAACAAAACCATGCAACTGTAACAGAATTTTTTTCTCTTCTCTTTGGACTTTACGTTTGTCTGTACTCTTTCTTCAGTAGTGCCACATACCCAGGAATGAAGATGATGCTAATCCTACAGAAAATTTCATGCAAAAAAAAATGTTATGGCAATAATCCATTGATTATTTTTAACAGTTTGATGTTATTTCTTGTATCATAATTAACTCCATTTTCATTTTCCATTATAATTGTAGCCGATGTTGTTCTATATATTGCAATTAAAAAAATAAAATATAATAACTTCATTAACTGTTGTTTTATCTGAATCAGATTTTTTTTAACAAGACGAACAAAAAGTTCACCAATTGAATTTGTTCGTGCGAGCGATGTAGCTGCATAATTATCAAATAACTATATCTACATCAATAATTTGTCTGTTTTGAATAAGAACTTCCAATCTACTAGAATATCATATTCACCTAAAATTTAAAATAAAAAACAAAGCAAAAAGAAGTTTATATAGTAGATGGACAACAAAATTTGTTTCTTATCAATCGTTCATATTCTTTTTCTATTTATCTGGAAAAACTTTTAGTCAATACCATCATAATGATCAATAAAAAATACAACGAACAATTAAGGTCGGATAAAACATTGATACATAGCAATAAATAGTTCGAAACAATGCTATATCTTCATTTGCTAGATTATTTGATACAGTTAGCTTTTTGAAAAAAGCAAAGACTCATGAAAAACATTATACAAATAGTTCTTGCTTGAAGAAGTGAATGCGCAACAATATAAGGATGAAGAAAAAAACATCAGTACATATGTATGCTTGGTGGTGATGAAATAGTAAATGATGAGGTATGATAAGCTATAGAATAAATAATGATTGTTAATTAAATGTAATATTACCAAAATTAATTATATTGAAATAAGTATCGGAGTTCAATTTAAATATATAATCAATAGATAAGAGCAGAATAACTATCGTTCTAAAAATAAACAAAATATATTTGTTGAAAAAAAAATTAATTTTTTCTTAACTTGTGTGTGTAACTGTATCTTTATCTTTCTAAAAATAACAAATCATATATTATTTTGAAAAATAAAGAAAACTATGAAGTTAGTCTGAGTAAAAATCAAAAATTTCTTTGATCAAAAAACCACACGACATTGATTTTTCTATATTATACATAGAGAGAGTAAATTAACATCTCTAATTGAATTCATAGTGGAATGAAGTTTCGAATAAGAGAGTTGTTAATTGCCTATAATACATGTAAAAACAAAAGTTATATATAGTTCAAAATCGCTCAAAAAGTAAAAGTATCCAAGATGAATATGAAAAACTACGGCAAAATTGGTTATACAAACATATTATTCTCTACTTTTCGCAATCAGACGATAAATAATTGAAAGTCTCTTAAAGCGTAGTATAAAAGTTAAGCTATTTTTTTTCTAGTGATTATATATAGGCATCCTGTTTTGATGTAAACTTATGATTAACCTCTAATTAGGTAAGTCAATGCAAACGTGAGTGTGAGCTTGGATCAAAGAAAGATCTGCATTCCCACCCACATCTGACCAAAGAATACATTTTGAAAAATGTGTTGCAAATTGATCTTTTAATTGATGGATGAGAGAGGCGATATAAACAAAAGAATTAGCGATTGTAGTTGGCGACAATGGTATTTTGTTGCTATTGTTTTAAGACGAAGGAAAATAATCGTTTGAATTTTTTGCATTTATTGTCAATGTGAGCATGTATTGACGTTGATAGTCAAGCTCATGAACTGCCCATTGATGATTGGGACCGGTAAAACTTTGATCAAACATCAACTCGGGATGCATCACGAAGTGATCTCCAGCGTCCATTTATGTTCAAGAGACTGGTAAGAGAAAAAAATTGAATGATTCTGTTACATCCTGCCATCTATGTAGATAGTTATAACTCTTTCGCGTCTGTGATTGTCTTTTTCTTTACCTTGTTACCTTGTTGTTATATATATCTATGAAAGAGAAATAAACTAGTATGTTATGCTTTAACCAAACGAACTCGAACGTCTTTAAGATTAAGTGCAAATCAAGGCATAACAGATTCGTTCATTGAATCAAGAAATTAGTTATGTATACTTCTTCGAAGATTCGTTCGTCGCCGACAAGTGGCGATCGATCTTTGCAAACCTCTTCCGATGACTTTCACCGCACAGGAATAGCAAAGTTGACCGCTGAGCCGACTGTCAGTCCCACACCAATGATCAACATAGCGCAAATAACTTGATTAAATAATGATCAAGGACTTGAACAAAGCTGAGAATAGATCGGAAGAAGACAACTCGAAACATTCATTTCCACAACAGACAAGAATAAAATTTGTGGAAAACTGAATTATCTTAGGGGAAAAAGAGGTTTTAGTAACAAATCTTTTACTTCTGTATTGTCTACATAAAAGTTGAAATCTCTGTAAATGTACAAGTGTGAAAAATAAAAATATTTCTTTTAAACATGTATAGAGAAATATTAATGACGAAGTAAACGTTTGAAAGAAGAATATAATTTCCAAATTTGTTTTTGTGCTCTAGTCCAGAATGGAGCATTGTTTTGTATCGCAAAACACCATTGTAATAGTTTTTCATCGCTTAATGAATTCATAATGCCTAACATTAATTCATCGATACCTTCCGACTTTTTTCTAATATCGTCTACTACGTAATCAATCGAATTGACTTGTGTACAAAGACCAATGGGACCATAATAATAAATATTCTTTTCAACTTTTTTTTGTACATGATGACGAATCAGAGTATCTTGAAATATTTTCAAAATGATATCTGCTTCATCCGATGCATACATGTTTGTTATAACCATTGTAATGAATACTTTCAAATTTTTGCATGCTTCAACAATACCTTTGAGTTGTTCAAGTTCAACATAGGTACCTGGTGATGCACAAAAAATGAGACAAACTGGATTTTTTTTGTTAATTAAATCTTGTACATATTCTTTGACATCTAATCTTGTCCAATCTTCAATACCCGGTGAATCCCAAATTCGAATCGAACTTGTTGATGTTCTTGTCGGGCTGTCTTCGGTTTCTGTAATATAAGATTCTTCATACTCATAATAACTAAATTCTTTCGTACAGGTATTACGTCCAGCATATGTTTGAGCCACATCTTTCTGTAGAATGGCATTGATCAGTGTACTTTTTCCAACTCGAGGTGAACCCATTAGCATGATATCAAACGTTTTTCCTACAGCTGCATGTAGATAATTTTGTATATCTTGTCGTGGTATTTGCTGAATAGTGGCATGAACAACATCATGAAGAATACTCTGATTATTTTCATTGCTCGATGATAATGCTATTGCATTTGAGTTTGAAACAATACTCATCTCCGTTGTTTCCTGGCTTGATTCTTCGATTGCATGTGACAGAGAAGTTGGCAAAACTATAAACAAAATGGTTCGTTAAGTCTTGAATCAGAAACAATATTAGTGAATAAGACAAAATAAACTAATAATTCTCTTCATGTTCTAGCAAAGCATCAGGTACATATAATAATAAAAATAGGCTATGACTTATCGATTCTTTCTAATTATTATCGACGAATATATGGTCGTTACTAAAAGATCCCTGTAATAATTGAATCCTGTCTCAACTTTCATAGATAGTCTTCACATTTTTATCACCAATAGATCTCAGGTAAGCTAGGTAATAGGTACCACCCCATTCTTCTGCTATGAGTGTGCAATAAAACAGAAATCAATTACAGGAGCGCGAAAAGACAAGCGAAAATTTTGCTTTTGAGATAGCATTTTTGCTCAGTTTTTTCAACGAACGATAAACAATGTGTCTGCGCATATAGAACCCTCATATATTGATCGGTTTATATTTGTTATAAAGAAATACTCTTTTTGAGTCATAATAGTCTTGAAGACATGTAGACCTGGATCATCCCATGAAACAGAAAATGTATGAGATAAGAGAAATCATTTTGAAGCAAAATTTCTCGTAGAAAAGCTTTCAGCACAATACCTTCGGGATGCAAATGTGAAACACGATAGATTAGTTTCACCTGTTAAGCGGAGACTCAATCATGTAGATCATAGTGACACTAGGGAGCTTTATCTATTCCGTCTGTCACGATCTATGGTGGGAAGGAAGGGATCATGTTTCAAAAAATATTCGTTTTAGTTAAGTTCACTTTACCGTTCATCATCATTCTTTCTTGGATCAGTAAATTTCTTAACTTTTCCTTTTCAGCCAAGTACTCCAATAACCATCTTGTTCGCATAATTAGCTGATATCGCCCATCTTGCTGTTATGACTGAAATATCTCATCATTTTTTAATTCAACTTCATAGTTTAATGCTAAATAATAATGACTCGATGCTGGTTCATTAATTCTTTCACAAACTTTTCTAATGATTTCATCGTACATAGTCGTTGATGGGATTACATTAATATTAACCATTTCACCTGTTCGACGAACATGAATTTGAATGGAACAGATTGTGGATTCCATGTGCTATAATTTTAGAAAACAGAAGAGCTTATTTATCTTTCATAGGTTCTAATTTTCTAATTCGTTTTCTATTGTTTTCAAAGTTACAATCAACATTGTTCAACTGATGTAAGAGCTGTCAAACTAACTACACACGTACACGATAGAGCCATTTGAATCATTATAGCGAAATCTAATGACATTTGTAGCGGTTCTTCAGGAGATTAAGACCCAGACTAGCGAAAAGTCTGTCGGACATGGTGATAAGAATGAAAGTTGGATAGAAAAATGCTGAGAGCTCTGGTGCGCATCATTTCGCTCTTATATCCTATTCTAACTGATATGTCACCCCAAAAGAATAGAACAGCTTTATTTTCTGGTTGAATAACAGAATCGTGTTCATTTATGTAAAAAATTGTACAACGTCTGAATTTGACTGAAAAGAAAATTGAAAATGTGTTGTCCTCTAAAATATGTAAATTTGATAGTTGAATGACACGATTCTGCTTCATTTTATTTTGCATCGACTTCGAAAATCAACTCCTAACTTTCCCCTATAGACGAGTAAAGGATCGCTTTCATTCACTACTTGCATTCTGCAGAAAAAATACGGCTTATTTTGTGTGAAACTGTAACGTTTTTTTTTACCGTCTAACAGAATTGAGAAGACAAAATTCAAAAGAATTATTCACTTCACCTGTACACCTTTGCTCATAAAAAGGATGAAGAAAAGATTGACTTGTTGTTTATTCTTCATGAAAAGATCTTTTTTTCGTAATTCATTTGAAGGTTACAAAGGAAAAAAGAATAAAAGAAAAAGAATTTGGAAATGATGACGACGTACCATCATTGCATCACTCACAAATCAATTGCGACTGTGGAACTTTCCGATATGAACATTATTGATAGCGTGATGTAAGGCGCTCTATATTGGAAATAAAAGAAGTAAATGACTCATGCATTTATTTTTTCATTCATTTCGGGATGCTGAGAGTGCTGACTGGCGTCGGATTCTTCCTAGATACCAATCCTTTTATATATTCTCTAATAATTCAATGGAGAAAACAATAGTCTATCGATTAATATATACGACATCATATAGGATTTGTTCGTTAAAGGTGAATATGGAACGAATCAGATACCAGAGTATTGGAGATAGCGGCAGTTTTAATTCAGATTCAAAGCCTCAGAAAGAGTTTTTTAGGCACAAAAACGCTCCAGAAGCCAATAATGGAAGCTGAATCTCAGGATCGATACGTATGTTTCTAACGCATTGCACTATTTCTTTGGTTCTCAATTACCAAATCATTAATATCTAGCGAAAGTCTACTCTTTTTTGTTTTTTCAAGTTTTTTTTTGTATAAACATGACGTTTATTGACTTACGGATTACACAATAGTCGTGCAATGTATTGTCTGAAGAATAAGAAACCACCCATTGCCTATTTTTCTCTTTTTACCTATGTTCAGTTGAATTTGTACAATACGCATCATCTAGAGATTAATTCGAATGAGTCTTGCTTACTATTTTCGACAAATATAGTCAACTATGGTTTTGAGACAAAAATTTCAAATCGTAAAAGTTTTTCTCTTCTCAAAACGTGCACAAACAATATTTTAACTATTTGTTTTTTCATGTGTTTATTATAATGAAGCTCTATGTAGAAAGATACTCAAAAAAAAGCCATGCTTATTGGTGTCTGCACCTCAAACATGATGTTCAGTCGTTTTAGATAATTCACATATAAAGGGACCGATGGCCAGCGAAAACAATGTGAAAAAAAGAGACAGAAATATAACTGTTGCAGTGACTTCTGCTGTCGCGATCGGTGCCAATAACTTGCGTAGATCACAAATAGAATGTACAAATAATAATCATTCATTCGTAGCTAACTATGTCGAAAATAAACTTCAAGAATTCACTNATCTCAGCACTTCAGCACCCGCCCAGCACCTACTCAGCACCTGAGCACCTACTCAGCACCTACCCAACACCTGAGCACCTACTCAGCACTTTTCCAGCACCTGAGCACCTACTCAGCACCTGCTCAGCACCTCAGCACCTGTCCAGCACTTTTCGGTGCTGGGTGCCAGCACTTACCCCCCTGGAAAAACAGCATCGAATGAATATATTTCGAAACGTCTGAGAGATTAAAAATAAGCAATAAAGCTAATTTTATTGAAAATTCGAGTGTTTTTCTTCCGTATCAAAAATATGCCTCTTTTTAAACGTTTTTTAAGATTTTCTAAAAAGTTTTTTGAACTTTTTATCACAAAAAAATGACTCAGAAATTTTTAATATATACAGTTTTGTAGAGCTCGACGAGCTTTATCGAATCATAAAAAGATATCCAAGAAAAACATTTTAATTCATTTTTCAATTACTGGCACCTTACTTGGTCACCACGAAAAAAGTATAAAATTTCTGAAAGTTTCTTAAGTTCGATATTAAAATGTTTTCATAACCCTTACTATTTAGTATCAATAAATCTCATTTTTGACGGGCTTTCATTTGAAATTATAGCGATGCCTCCCTAGCAAAATATTGTTTTCAACCTAGTACTGCTAAAACTCCTAGTAGAGGATGATTACACATTATCTTCAGATCTGTAAGATTTCTGTGGATTACCCATGTAACCATTTTTAAGTTTCCAACGCGTTTCTGATCGTTTAACGCAAGAGCACGTGACGCGTTTGTACGCGTCCAAAATGCAACATTTTCGGGTGTCCAAACGCGTTCAGATTAAAGAAATGCATCTGCATGCGTTTGAATTGGGAGAACATCGCAACTCGTTTACATATATGGACGTGTTTGTGCTCACTCAGAATGCAATATTTTCAAGCGTGGGGACGCGTTCAGAAAATTGAGTGCGTCTGGATGCGTTCACTTTATTCTCGAAAAAGTTAAAAAAGAATCATCACTCTGTGCCGGATTCGAACCGACGCGCTATAGCAAACTATGATATAACACTCAAATATCGTGAGCAACAGAGTGGGAATTTTTCCAACGATAGTTTGAACCGAAATTTGAATACACGACCATCAATTACAAGTCGAGCACCAGCAGCTCTGAGTTATACACAACTCGAACTTATTTATATGTTCATAAATTGAATGAATAACTTTTTGAATTTCTTTGGATAGTTCTAACAATAGTGATGTTGATTTATTTTCACTTCGTAAATGAATATCAATAAGTTATATTCATAAAATAAAAATGAATGTATTCTTAATGGTTAAAAAAAAATAAAAACTAAAAATATTATTGTCGACATGTTGAAGAAAAATTAAAGAATAAATAAAGTTCTTCCTTTGCTAAATAAACAAAAATCTCGTTGTGAAACAAAATTAAATATTTTTTTCTTTTCGCTAATAACAGAATATACAATGTTATTGAAAGCTGAGAACGCTGTATGGAAACATATGGAAAAAATCTTATGTGTATCTACATATTCGTAACTATGGCAATACAAGTTTTAGAAATTTAGAGAAAATAGAAGCTTAGGCCTTCATAGAAAGAATTATTATTTGATATCCGTGATTTTTTACAAATTAAGTGTTCATTTACGTTTTTTTGTGACTCAAAAAATTACTAATCTTTTTTTTTTCAAATCACGAAAATTTTCTTTTTCTTATCAATCTTAATCTGATAAAATGAAAAAGTTTCATCTAGACTCGTACTCTTTATTATGAAGAAGAATAGAGATAGACTAACATTCCCATTTGAAAAACTGCTTTGCTAAACTTTAGATAAAATCAAATAGTTGAAAATAAAAATAAAATTCATAGGAAGTATTTTTTGATATAGGAAATAGATGATGAACTCAACAATAAAAGTGTTAAGCTCGCAGTAGATAGTTTGTGCATTATTAAGATATTTTAGAAATGCGGTAGAATAAAGCATAAAGTTTTGTCAATAGTTCAATATTTTCAATAAATAATGCGTCAGTAAAAAGTGAATATGACAGAAATACTCATGGAACTTAGCTAATTCATTACAGCAAACACAACTTCGTTAAATCTTCATGGCAGCAATTAAGCATGAATGCCAGAATTCAGTTCTACAGCGACATAACGTGATCAGAATTTTATAACTTTTTTATGGAATAAAGTTAAAATGCCCATACACGATCACCAGAAAGCGACTGGTAATCTGTCTTCAACGTACACGAGTTTAGACGTATATGATTTTTTGAACGCGTTCAAGTGCGTCAAGTGAATTGCTTATAAAGGCACAGAGACGCGTAAATGTCTAAAAAGGATTATATGAGTAGTAAAAAGAACATCGTCTAATTATTCTTAATCCAATAAGAAGAGGCGGTTTGTAATATAGAGTATTTAGTTTGATCTTATCCTCGCTTAATTCTACTTCGGACTAATTGCATCCTCCTGAATTAGTACGACGGACACAGATGTTCTGAAATTCTTCGGCGTATAGCTGTCTGCTTACATATTTCACGCAACACTAGTAAGCTATATTTAAAATTCCAGATAATGAGTAGTAGTCATTTTTAAGAATGATAGATGCAATAGAGCTTTGGTGCATCGTCATAATAACTTATTACAGAATTCTCAAACTACTTTTCAATGAAAATCGGGTAGTCGTTTACAATAAGAGATCGATTGATATTTATTATGATGAAACAGCCTGCATTTTAGATGGCATCCCATGCACGTATGGCTAGAAACATGCTTAAATGCATCTTATCTATGCAAAGAACGAATTGGGCTGCATTTAGACGCGTAAGTGGAATCCAAGAGCATCAGCAAACGTATAAAATCAACGCATGTACACGCGTATTGTCGATAGGCAGCGTTCTGACACGTTCAATTTAATTTCGTTAGAAATTATGAACGCATCTGGATGTAAAGTCGAAATTTTACGCCTTGAAACGTGTCCCATAACTAATCTAAATCCGTTTGGATGCATCTTATTTAATAAATGCATTTAGACACTAGCACTATAGATGCATTTCAGTGCTTTTTGAGTCTATTTCGATCGGAAACGCGTTTAAACGCGTCTAAGATGCGTTTCATGATTACATGAGTGTATCTTGCTTCGAAGATGTTCGATTAGCATTATGAATCTATTTGTTACTGACCTTGGACACCAAATGATATCATTCATTAATTCTAAAGCATGTTGTAATGTTAACCTTTCATATCTTTCATATAACTGATCATCTTGAATAATTAATTTCATTTCATTCGGAAGTAATGCTTTTTGACATTGACTTTGGGGACAAACAAGTTTTTCACCAAATCTTCCATTATCAAGTTTTATTTTAACATAATTATTTAAGCATGATCGACAATAAAAATGTTCACAACGATGAAGACGAATACAATCTATCCCTGAAATAATATCTGTACAGATTAAACATGTTTGAAGTTGATTTCGAAATTGTTTCTCTTTTTGTTCATTATTATAATTAATTAAATATTGATAAATTTGATCAATATTCTCATTTAAATATCCATTTAATGCTCGTGGATCGTTGGTTTGTTCATCATCGAGGTTCGTATGAAGGATAAGTTTGTTACTAATTTGATTTTTAATCAATTCGATCCAATCGTAAACACAAACTTCACCTTTTATAAACGAATAATTATCAAGTTTTTCACAAAGATTTTGTAAAGATGATTTTGAAAAATAAAAACATGAAAGAACAAATGAAGGAGGATGGAAACTAGGATATTCATCATGATAATGAATAATAAGAGTAAATGGCGGTAAATAATCAATTACAGATCTTTTATTATTATATTCAATAACAAATGGTTGAAGTAGGTCAAAATCAATTAAGATTTCATATTGAATATTGTCATGAAGAAAACGAAATTTACTTTCAAATATTGATTGTAATGCTAAGATTTCCTCGGCCTGTTTTTCCAGATTCGTCATTGATACTTTTTGATTAATAACAATGTATGTATATAGAAACTACTCAAACTTTATTAGTATATGATGATGTTTTATAAGAGCATACTTGTTTTTATGCAATTACAACATTGCATAAGAACGTTGCAATATGCCAATGAAAGGAAGAAAAAATGTAGAGCACGAAAGAAACGGTGAGTAAGAAGCAAGGTGCCTGCCAATATATAAACGTGTTTTTTGATAGTGTATTATTCATCATTTCATCATCCATAAACACAAGATTATGACAAATATAAGATTATGGCTGTGGGTCAGGGTTGTCGGATCGAAAATTAAAATATTGGAAGAATTTTTCTTACTATCGGAAAAATGTCCGAATTGTTAATCTCAAAATCGGAAAGTATTTTTTAATACTTAAATAGCTAGTCTGTTTTTTCAATAGGACGATATGCTTTATCTTGCTTCTGTTAATTTTTTTGAAACAATATCTGAAAAGGTATTCGATAAACAATTAAAGAAAATATAAATTGTCATACACAATTCACTCATTATTAAGAAATCCAGATAAGTCATTTAAACAGAATCACATTAGTTTTTTTCTTCAAAAATCTTATAAACAACTTGACGAAAGAATACAATCAACATTATAAATTCATAAACACACATGCATTTCACAAAAATTGTGTTAAAGAAACTAATATTTATTCTGTAGACCATCCGTTTTTTTTCATATTTCCTTATTAGCTCGAATGTTCTTCAAAACATCAGGTTGAGGTAACAGATATTCATAGAAATGTCCACAAGGGTAATCGGAACTCATTCTGATTTTCAATTCTGCAGTAGCTAATTTAGTACCAATACGATTATGATTAGTTTTATTATATCTGCCATAAAACAAAAAAAAAAAAAAACTAAAAAACTAAGATACTTTTAATTATCAGTACAGTAAACGAACAGAGAAAATTAGTCCATCACGATAGTAGACTGAATCTTTGTTTGTCTATAAAACATTCTAATTTTATTGGAGGATGAGCTTTCAGAGCACTGAAGTGGGCTTTGTTGAGTTCATCACGTTCTACCACCTAACAATTATAGTGCCACAGATATCGCAATATATATGCAGTAGCAAGTCGTCTTTAAATTATTCTGGAAATATTCTAAGAAGCTCAATTTAAAAAAAAAAACTCCAAGAATCTGAGAAAAATTAGGAAATCAGAATGCGATTGGAACGTCGGAAAAAGTTTCAAAAATCGGAATTTTTCCCGCCATATCGGAAGATCTGGCAACCCTGTTGTGGGTTTCAATCAGGGCTGCCACCTTCGAATTTTCAAATGGGGTACATCAGATTTCAGATGGGGTACAATTTGTGTACAACTCTTGTTAAAATTGGGGTACATCATTGGGGTACATTTTTTTTTCTGAAAGAGTACAATTAGTTGGAAAAAATGCTGATAGATACTCCTTTTGTGCAAAAAATATCGTATTTCACTTTGTTTCAATAAATTTAGTTTTTATTGTTCATTCTGTTACAAAAAAAACACTTTCATAATCAAATCATAATTTCCAAAAAATAAATATTCTACAAAGTAATAGAAAATCTACAATTAACACAAGCGCAAGGTATATGTCGAAATCAGCTAGAAGTTTTTCTTTTATGACTATACTTTTGTGAACTTTGAGCAATTTTAATTACTTCATTTTCATTTTGAATAAACTTAAAAAACTGGTCATATTTCGTCTTACAGTTCAATCTTATTTTCAATTCAGCTGCTACTGTTTTACTTAGCATCGAATTTCGACTAGCTGTCCATGAGGGCTTCATATGACTAAAAACACCTTCTGCAAATGCGTTCGAACAAGAAATTGAATATACGTAAGAAACAAGCTTTGTTATTTCATCACAATTTGTTATGGTTTTAGCAATTAAATATGCCCAAACTTGATCAGGTCGAATCTTTTGATGATGCTGTGTCGTTGATGTCTTGTGAAGAAATTGTTCATCTTCATTATCAGCTGCTTCATCCTCAGTTGATGCATCGCATGTTGTATCAAATATGTGTTTTTTGACGTCATGATTACCAATATATTTTTTTATTTGAATAAATAATGGTTCGCGATAAGAATTTACTTCTTTAAAAGTTGATTGTAAATCAATCATCTGTTCAAATAATTTATCATAATCAAGTTCAAGATTAAGAATAGAAACACATCTTTCTATTTGATCGAATGTAACTTGATCAATTTCGGTTATTTCTAAAAGCAACAATATTATTAATATTTTTGTACTTTGT